CTTAACAGCAACCCAGTATTTTGTTGGTTAATTCTCCGAGCAGGCTGAAGCCCACCGAGGCCAGTTGGTAGTTTCCAGAATTAGCGGGACCCCAAGATTCACCCCGAAGTCCTACATACTTCATAATAGGGACCCCCCCACAAGGGTACTCCTAATTCTTGGAACATTTTGCCGGAAGTAGATAGACTATGGGGTATATGAGGATCTTAGTATAATATACCCAAAACCATATTCTATCTACTTTAGGGGGATTATATATATAACTATACGAAAACCCTAAACCCTAACTCATGGAACCCCCCAGATTTTCAATGGTTCGCATGGCTGTTCTTTGTCGAGGTTTCCGAGCGCGGTGAGCTCCGGGACGGCACAGAGCCTGGGTCATTGTTGTTTGAATATTTTAGGGGTTTAGGGTTTAGGGTCCGGGAGGATCTAAAAATTAGATCCCCTATGTAGACGCATTATAACCCCTATAATCCTTAGATATTTTTCCATATGGTTCTAGGGGATCTAATTTTAGATCCCTTTGGGGGTCTGGGATATTACTAGGGAATATTTGGGTACTCTTTGGGCTAGAATCTGGAATCCATGTTTTAAGTTTGAATAGTTTTCAGCAAGTCTAGCATTTCTATGCTAAGCCCTAGACCCGAATGATATAGCCTTGCCTGTAATTGTAATCAGGCTGGACCATAGATGTGCCTGATACCTGTTTATGACACTACATGCAAATTTGCGGCCCCCGCGGAGCCCTGTGATGCCCTGTGGTAGTATGCGGGGCTGAGTAAGAATAGGATGTAAGGGCGAGTTAGGCAAACCTTAAATGCTACACCCTAAACCCTGGTGCTTTCCTGGCCTGGAGAATCTGAAACAAGCCCCAACCCTTTGGCCCAATTTGATAGAAGGAGCGGGTCAGCATTCCGCCGGAGCTTCGCAAGCAGGGCTATAGGCTGCCTCGTGATGTTGTGAGGTTAAACTAGGGTATAGTCCCCCTGAAGTAGACAGAATATCGCTTGGGGTATTTTATAATTAGATCCCCATATGCCCCATATATATATATATATACTTGGAGGGTCAGGGGCCTTGGTTGGCAGATCCATAGGGCTTAGGGTTTTAAGGGGGGTTTGCTTGCAGGTCGGTTTTTTCTTGCTGGTTGTTTGGAAAAACTAGGATGGAGAATCATATGGAAAGCAAAATGGAGGCTAGGGGCTATGTAGGGACATATAGGGAACGGAAGCTGCAATGTTATCGAGGATAAGGCAGGGGCTGCGATAGGGATCCATTCCTCCAATTCCCACTAAACCTTACGCCAGCTTGTTCCGATAGTTGTTGATGGCTTATTTTGTTGCAAAAACCCGAAGTTATCACCAGGTAATATCCGCCCTTTAGAAGGTCTATTCAGCCTTGACCATCGCTTCATTAACCTAAATTAAAGTGGGAGCCAAGGGGGCTAATGTAGACCCCTAATTAAGGAACCCCCTCCCCTAATAGGGATTATCATAGGGATCCCAATATTAAGGCCCTTAAAAGACGGGCGTCTATCAATCATGGGTCTACAGTCTACATTAGTATAGAGTCTCTTATGGTTACAATTGTTGGTAACACCAGTGTTTTTTGGAAGATGCCCCTTGGAAGTTTTTTTCAGGATAAGGAGCTTGGACCTGGCCGGTGCGGCATGAGCCTAATTTCTTTCAGAATACATCTGTTTGTATAGGGGCATTATGGAGATACATAGGGACATTATAGGGGTTCTTTATGGGTGTATATAGGGATATTATAGTACCCCAACAATGAAAAATCAAATGGGAAACGCAATGGAAATTAGGATCATATGGCGGAACAGGTGCAGCTAGCGTCCATTTTTGTGCTGGGGGGGCTTCTAAACCCTAAGCCTTACCGGCTGGAAAGGACCCTTACTTGCAAAGTCAGGGGGACTTAGCAAGTAGGTTTATAACCCCCCATAAGCTGTCCTGTAACAACCCTAAACCCTAAAAACCCCAGTGAGCCTACTGACTACAGGTTTCTTAGCAGCTACAGCGGCGGCTTATGCAACAAAACTCAGGGCCTAGCCGTTTGTCACGCTTGCCAAGGTTTTCCTCAGGAAAGCGATACAGATATTCAGGCATTGCATTTCATTTCAGGTTTGGGTCTTTGAATGCTGGCAGACGAGCGGGTATGGGACATCGTACCTTAATTTGTTGCCTGAGCTGAGCTTATTCAAGACGGCCTTTGTCTCAGTCTTGCTTAGTAGGGTCCAACTGAGTCCAACTAGATGACGAGAGTCGGTATTGTGTCCCTCAGATGTTGAGCGGCTAGTGGTTTGTAAGCAAACAAACCAGAATTTGTCACATGGCTGCAGAATGTATCAAACTGTCATTGTCGTCTTTTGCCTGGCAGCTTGAACCCTCATCCCCAAACCCTAAACAGGTGGTGCAGCACTTGCCGCATTGTGAGACCGCCACGCGCTTCGCACTGTGCCGACTGCGATAACTGCGTGATGCGCTTTGATCACCACTGCCCTTTTATAAACAACTGCGTGCCCTGGCTTGAATTCTGGAGGTCTTTTCCTCTTGTTGTTCATCCTGGAGGAAGTACGAATTCGAATACTATCTTGGGATTGTCATTATTCTTATGACGACTAATGGCTATTAATACTGTTATGTTTGAAACAAGGGCCGGAAGCTGCCCAGCAGCCGAGGTTGGCCAGCGGAACTATCTCTTTTTCTTTGGCTTTACTAGCTGCCTGGCCACAGCCATGTCCCTGCTAGGGTTTAGGGCTTAGGGCAGGCTGAAATTTCCGGCACAGCCGAAAGCAAGGCCCCAGGTTTGAGCTGCAACGTTGCTGGCTCGCTTCGCCTCAGGCTCCGTATGCGCGCTCGCCCTGGTGGTCATTCCATCCCTCCTTTGGTTCCTTCTGGTTGGGACTGGGATTGGTCGGGTTCTCAGATCTGCTGAGGTTTACAAGGTTCTGTGGCAGACTTGAGATCCTGACCACAGCAAGCTCTGAGGTGGGTATTGTACCCAAAGTTCCACACATGCGAATCTTGCAAACTGCTGAGGCCCCGGTCAGGGTTCCACGACAGAGAGCTACACAGCCTCTTGGATGTGTGAAGAGAAGGCAGTTGGCGCTTCATCCCACAATCACCCTGCAGTAACCCTTTCTCGGCACGGATTTTGATATGCATCTGGCATATTGACTTGATATGTCTTCAGCCTTTTGAAGAACAAATTCGGGCTCGGACCTGATGAGGGCAGTCAGAACACCAGACTACTGTGCTGCTGCTACTGTTGCTGCTAGCAACTGAGCTTTAGTCTAAACTCCTTTAAGGGGGTTACATAGGGGATTATATAGGGGATTATTATAGGGCTTATTAAGGGGGATACTAGGAGTTTAGATTATGGCTCAACTGATGGTAATGCTTCAGGTCAATTCCGATGCAATTGTGCGTGGTTTTCTGATCACTTTGGCAGCGGCCGGAGGTGGGTATGCTCTGCTTCGGGTGAGAAGAACATATCATTTTCCTTGATGAGTTACCGGGGGAGTGGGGGAGGGAATACGATACAGGT